ATGGTTTATGCTCAGGTTTTCCTAGAGTCCACTGTAGATGTAAATAAGGTGTGTTATGCTCGTTCCAAAGAATACTTTACTTGACCCAGCTCATGGGTCAGACTCACTCTCCCTCCCTGCTCTGTGTGGGGCTCTGCAGGCTGAGCAGAGCACCATGTGAGCCGTGCTCCACTCCAGCAGAGCGAGGAGGCAGCAGGGTTTCCACCTGGCACAGCCAGCCCTGCCACCAGGTGCCCTCTGTTGCAGCACCTGCCATGTGCTTGTCTCTCCTCCCCCTGCAGGCTCGTTACCCCCATCTCATCAGCAGAGTGAGAGGAAGAGGAACATTCTGTTCGTTTGACACTCCAGATGATGCAACTAGAAACAAGTTAATTACAATAGCCAGAAACAAAGGTAAGAAACTGTGTGTGTGTGGATGAGCTTCATGTGTAGCATTCACATGTGAAGGTAATGCTTCACATTTTCCTTTTCATATCCTGCATGAGTATTTCAGTATCAGAGGACAGTAGGGAAATGACAAGGGTGAATTTAGACTTTCTGGAAATGATGTCAGAGGCAGAGCAGTCTGTTGCATGGTGTGTACATTTACCAGCCTCTGCAGGTCTGAGGTTACTGGAAAAGGTCTGTGTATGGGATGAGATTTTGTGACAACAGGTTCAGAGTCCTCTGCAGTGACTTTAGGTGCCCATGGACATGGCTTACTTCTAGAAACAGGAAAGTTAGATGAAAGTCAATGTCACTCAGGAAAACACAGCAAGAAGAACGATGAGTTCTATAAATACATAATTCCTATACCTAGGAACACCTAATGATTAAATACCTAAAATGGGCACAGATCTTCAGTGACATCCCTCTTTTCCCACAGAACTGTTAACAGCTGCAGACAGGCCCAGGTATCCAGAGGGGAACCTTGGGATCCACACCTAACACTCTCTTTAACTATGTGGGCCCTGTGTTTGCTGCTGTTTTTGCTGTTACTCCTATGTCTTGAAAGAAGCAGGCAGGGTGCATCTAAACTGTGGTGAAACCAAACTTTTATAGTGTAAAAGACACCATTTTTTGTTCTTGGAAACTAAGACAGCGGAGAGAGAAGGCAAGTGATTTGTTTCATAGTAAACCAAGGTTCTGCTTTGAGGCAGGGTAAGCTCAGCTTAATAATATGGGTTCTCATTCAAACATTTCTAAAAATTTATTTTGGGCTAAAAAGTGCATTTAAAACACTGCAGGGAGAGGTTTGCAGGCATGGAGACATTTTAACTTGTTATTAAAAACAATTTAGTTTAAAAAATAATGCAGAGAAACCACCTGTGTCTTGTTGTGGCACCAGGACACCTGACCAGGAGAGTACTGCAGCTCTGAAATCTCAGATGCTGTGTGAGCTCTGTGCTGGATGGACTCTTTCCACTGCTGTCAGGATTAGTCCCAATACTCCAAGTGTTTTATAGAACAGCTCCAGGCACCCACAGTGTTCTTCTAAGCTGCTGTGAAGCTTGAGGCCATTCACACCACAATGTGCTGTATCATGGTGTTGCTAGCAGGATCTGGGGAGCTTCTGTTGGCCCTCCACAATGAGGGTATCCCCATTCAGAAACCTGAATTCTTCTGGATACTTGGCAAAGATGGAAATTAGTAGAGGACCTACTGTGTTCTCATTTCAGGGGTTGTCCTGGGAGGCTGTGGAGACAGATCCATCCGTTTTCGTCCCACGCTGATCTTCAAGGACCACCATGCACACCTCTTCCTGAACATCTTCAGTGACATCTTAGCAAACTTCAAGTAAAAAGCAGTTCCCTTGCACTGAACAGCTGATTATGAAATTAGTTTGCATTAATTCATGTCTTCTCTACTTACAAGATAAGTGTAAAGTCATAAACTGAGGTTTGTGTTCTGTCTGTGATCCTGCCCAAGGCAAGCTGCTCCATGCACACGCGCCCCAGGCAGAGCATTGGCACTGGTCACCAGCAGGTCCATGCAGCTGTCCCTCACTGTGCATCCCCAGAACCTCCCTCTTCTGGCCTGGGCCATGCTGACTGCAGAGTCCTCCTACAGCCATGTCCCTGACTCTGCCCTGTCTGAGCAGGACCTGGAACACTCTGTTTCCACGGGTGACCCTGGTAGATTTGCATCCAGAAGCAGCAAAGCGTGGCCAAACGCTCAGAGCCACACTCCTGCCACACAGAGTGCCCTTCTCTAATGGCAGCTGGGATCAAATAAGTGTTCAAGGAAAGCTCTGCTTTCCACCACTGCCAAGCACAGTATTTTACAGAATAATTTCCAGCTTTGTTCCCTCGAGTACAGGCATCTGCCACACCAGCTGCATCAGGGCAGCTCTGCCCAGCCTGCACTCACTGCTTCAGGGGCACTGGTGCCCTCAGCCACACCTGCAAGTGGCACTGAAGCCCTTGTCCTTCTGTCCTCGTCACACGGGATGGGTTTTAAAACTTTTGACTTCTCTTACAAGCAGACTTGTACAGAGAAAACTCTACCCTGAGGTATGTAACCTGACAAAGCTTAGAGAACCATGCAAAGCACATTCTTCCACTTCTGCCAGCAGTCTAGAATGATTCCAGATTATTTTACCCTTTGCCCAGAACACACAATAGCCATTAATTTATCTATTATAACTTCTACACGAATACTTGAGGTATTTTGTAAAACTAAGCAGAAATGCCATTATCTGGTATCAGAGCCACTACAGTGAAGGCCTAGTCCTGCCTGCACATTTATAATGCAAAGTAATTCTATTTTTGTTCTAATAGTATATTCTAAGTCATGGATATTTCAGAGATCTTCTAGAAAGCCACAGGATCAAAAAATGTGTCAACAGTTCACTGATTTTTCTTAAGAGAATTGTTTTGGATGTCTCTTTACTGTTTGCTGAAGGCTGACTTGAACTAGATCTGGTGCCTTTCTTTTTCTTTTTCTTTTTCTTTTTCTTGGTCAGCATCTGGATTTTGTTTACTAATTTTAACTTTTTGTTGTGCACCAAAAAACAGGGACCACAATGGACTTTTACAGTTGCCCTTGCAGGACCTGACCACAATTTTTAAGTGCATAATAAGAAACAGAGAAGTTAAAAGATTTACATGTTTAATACAACTACCAAAATGTGAAAAGGTTCCTTACTTGCTTTGAGAAGTGTTAATCATGGTTTTCCCATTTTAAAGTACTGGTATTGGGAAACTCAAGCACAGTCACTTCTGCCAGCTTAAACCCAGTGGGATTTCTGTAAACCTCTGCAGAAAGCAGAATTCTGGTGCCAGCTGGGCAGAACCTGAGCAGGTTTTTGAACAGAGGTTGTAGAAATCTGGGGGAAGGACTGGTAAAAATTGGTGTTCAACAAAACTTCATTGTCATCGCTGTCCTCGTAAGCATATTATCAGCAAAGGAAAGTCAAACCAGGAACTGGATTTGACAGCATTTTGGGAATTAGTTTGTTCAACATATCAGTGCAGTAGTTTTAGTGAATGTCTCTAGCAAGTCTTGTACTTTTACAGAAGCAAAGGTCCAGTAATTTGAAGTCTTACCACATCTTCACTTTTATTATGACTACTCTAGGTGTTTTTATAATTTTTACTGACACTCAGTAACTGTATAATTGTGTACAACATGTTGATGAAATCGTTAGAGAATACCATAGAAAGCACTGCAGCTCAAGCATATAAAGTTAATATTGTTTACAGCATACTGTAGACAGTGCCAAATAAATGTTTAAACAAATACTTAAGTACACTTCATGGTGTAACTAGTAACTGTACACAGATTCATAACAAATGACATCAATCATGTGTAATCAATATTCTTAAATAAAATATTTATAATTGAACTTCTCCAGGGCTTTTCATTTTACATCCAGTACATGCCTGAACTGAACCATTACTGCATACTAAAGATATTCTGATGAAGATAAACCTCAAAAAAATACAGCATACCTGTACAGCCCAATGTATTTTGTTGTCATGGTGTTTACACCAAGGAATATTTGGATTTCTTCTGATATTGCTGTGCTACACAGTGTCAGCCACAATTTAAACTCACAGAGCCCCATTAGGAAAAGTTAAGCATGAGAAATAGTAATTCAGGGTTACCCTGTGCTCTTAAATGGCAATTTTACTTAACTGATCCTTTAGTGATCCACCAAGAAACAGAGGTTTCACTTCACATGAGGAAGAAATAAGGAAAGAACACTCCAGGTTATTGGTGAGAGTCAGTTTATTTGCCAGTTTCACATTAAGCTAGAACTAGGAGGGGTGTAAGGAGTTATCTTGCTTCTGACAATTCAAAACATGTGTTACACATTATAGGTGATATATTTGGTTCTTTCTTGGGTTTAAATTCCTCATTTCTACCGAGGTTTTGGAAAAGGAGAATTCATACCAATATCATGGAATAAGACCACAGTCCTTCATGGAGACAGGTGCTGCTTTTCCCATTCCAATGAGGAATGGCAATTCCTGTAAGAGGCTCCTGAAATATTGTCCCAGCCTTGAACTTAACAGCTGAGCTGCCAGTGTCTCTTTTGCCCAGCTCCACTCCCATCCTGGAGGACTCTCCTGAGGCCAGGACAGCCCACACACCTTCCCATTCCCTCAATTGCACTGATACATGAGCATGTCCCTCTCTGACATTCAGCAGTACCCATCATATGGATGTACCAGACCAGCTTTAATTTCCAGAGGCTTCCCAGCCGACCTGAAATGAGCTACAAGAAACACTGAGGTTGAAGTGAGGGTGCTCTGGCAGCTCCTGCATTTCATTTTGAGAGATTTTTCATGTTTCATCCCCAGTAATTTGGCTTGGAATGCTGTGACATTACTGAATGCTACATGGAACAGACACTCCTCACACCATACACAAACTGCAGGACCTTTAATCCAGTGGGCTGTGCCTTACCACTGTGACTTTGTACACTGGGTGCACTTACTGCAGGCTTTGCACAGGAAATGGACAGGGATGTGTAGTTTGGTGAACTATTTAAACCTCGTGGAACAAGCACAATGGACATGGAAAGTCATTGGAAATGAGCAGCTGTGTCACACAAATTCTCCAAATATTTGAGTAAATTTCTGTCTGTCTACAATCTGGCCATACTTAATTGTAAAATACAAAGTATCTGTAGTGTTATACCGCTTGAACTGGTGAAGGAGCTCGTCCTTGCTATCTCCAACTTCATCCAAAGTCACCACTGTCTCTATGGGACAGTAAATGTCATTACGTCTTCCCCAGAATGTCAAGTGGGCCACTCTGACAGTTTGTCCAGTTTCACTTAAGTAGATGAATCCAATAATTCTTCTGAAAAAGTAGCTCATGCCATACAGCATAGCCCCAGCAAAGACAGCGATGCCAGTTGTGTAGAGGAGGATATTCTGGGACACCTGGCCCTGCAGGTAGAGGTAGCAGATGGGAGGCAGCATGATCATGGAGGTGGCAGTCTGCAGCAGCTTCAGTCTCGACAGGATCCTGCAGTATTTTATCCCTGGGAACCTGTAGACCAGTTTGAACTCTTCTGTCCTGCCATGCACAGCCTTCTGCTGGACCACAGCAGCAGGGGCCAAGTGGGACAGACACACGGACAGCTCTCGGGGTCTCCTGAGGTAACTCCTGACACCGTGAGCTCGCTGGGCTTGTGACTGCAAACACTGCCATGAACCAGCAATCCAGGGCAGGCGAGCAGCTTCCCTTCTCCATGGCCTTGTCCAGAGCTCCTTCTGCAGCGATCTCCCAAAAGGTGCTGCTGTGCAGGCTGCGGTCCTGACCGTGCAGAGCCAAGCCTGTAAGGTAACATTCCCACAGGTCATCGTTTGAGTCCTCTTTAAAACCCACCAGGGAGCTCAGAGTTGGTCCCTCGGGCTCCTACAGACAATAAAGCACAATCCCCGGGTCACTGTAACCTTAATCCAGTGTTCTGATAAAAAAACTGGTGTTTGTGCTCGCATCCCTCCCTGCAGACCGAGAGGGAAAACTGTGCTAACACAGCTGGTATCAGTGAGCTCAGTGACCGACACTGGCACACCCCCTGCCTCCCGCCGGCTGAGCAACATCCCAGCAAAGCTGCTGGAATCGCCGACTCCTTAAATAACCACTTATACAGCAGTTTTAGGGAAACAGAAAAGTGGACTAAGCACGGTAAAGGGGAGGAGAGCGCGATCAGGCCGAAGGAGGCAGAGGACGCTGGGAAGGCGCAAAGGCAGCAAGGGAAGTTCCGCGCTGCCCCCGCCACGCTGTGGGACACGTGGCGTGCAAGGACCCGTCACCGAGGGGCCCGCGACAGGGATGGCGACAGGGATGGAAAAGGGAAAGGCAAGGAGACGCGGAAAGGGGAGAAGGAGGGGGAAGGAGGAACAAACCCCAGCCCTCACCGCCGCCATGGCCCCGCCGCCTCTCCGCGCCTGCCCCGCCCCGCCCCGCGCGCGGCCCGCCGGGAGGGGCGGCCCCGCGGAGCAGCCATGGCGGCGCCGCCCTCCGCGCTCTGCCTGTTCGACGTGGATGGCACCCTCACGGCGCCGCGCCAGGCGAGTGCGGGACGGGGCTGCGGGAGCGGGGCCGATGGCACACCGCGGGGCCGATGGCACACCGCGGGGGCACGGCTGTGCCGTGTGCCGCGGGCTCCGTGAGCGCGCTTCATTCATTTAACGCTGCTTAAGGACCCGCACGGGCTGGTTGTTGCGGAATGGAGGCGCTGGCCTCTGGCAAATCTGACGGCTCTGTTTTGGACCGTAGAAAATCTCGGCGGAGATGGCGGCGTTCATGCAGCAGCTGCGGCAGAAGATGAAGGTGGGGGTGGTGGGCGGCTCGGACCTGGCCAAGATCCGCGAGCAGCTGGGCGAGGACGGTAAGGGCGATCCCGCTGGGGCGATCCCGCTGAGGTGATCCTGCTGAGGCCATCCCCCTGAGGTGATCCCTCTGGGGCGATCCTCGCTCCGAGCCCCGGGCAGCCGCCAAGGGCACGTGGAGGTTGAGCCCCGTCCATCCCCTTCTTCCCTTGCTTGTAATTGTCTTCCTGGGAGTGCTGTGTTGCACTCCGGCTCTGGGGAGTTACTACCCGGCTTTTGGAAGTCGCAGGCTGTTTGCACTGTAGGTATGTGGTATCTCGATATTAAATTAACAGGTTGTTGCTAGTGGTGAAATCCTACCTTGATGTCAGAGCTTTGTCACACTGCTGTGTGCAGTGCAGTCCTGTATGTGACATACACGTGTGGGCTGCTCAGCTGCCGAGCACATCCCTGAGGACCTGGATTTGTTCGCTGTGGGGTTATGTAGCTCTGGATTCTTGCCTTAGTCCTTTATTCTTAATGGTCTTTACTTAATTGATGCCACTGACAGCCTCCTGTAGTGCCCAGGCAGCTCAGAGTTTGTTTGCCTTCCAAGTGGTCTCAGTGAACCATATCATCTTGTGTGGTGCTGAGACTCACAGCTCCCAGACGTCTACTGAAGATTAGTGACACTGAGGAAACAAACCTAAAAGGGCAGTATTTGACTTGCTCTGAAGCCAGGCCATGTACCAGGTGTTTGGTCATTCTTTAATTTTTAATGCACAGAGTCATGCATATAAGTAAAGCCACAGGTAAGTCAATTGATTCAGCATGCTTTGAGGTGTGTGTTAATCATAGTGAGAAATGGGACTAGCTTTAATCTTGTGCTTGATGCTATGCTGCTGAAATTTTCATGCTTTAGGAGCTAATGTTTGCTGTATTTTAAGCTATTTAACATTTAAGACAATTCTGCATTAAGCATTGAGGGGAAATGATGAGTTACTGTGTTTTTGCTTGTTTGCAGTGATTGAAAAATATGACTATGTGTTCTCAGAAAATGGCCTGGTAGCATACAAAGATGGGAAATTCCTGAGCAAGCAGGTAAGTGTGAAATTTCCAACAGTGAGAAAAAGAAATTTTCTAAACAATATTTTGATTTATTTGTACAGTGTAGTCCTTTGTATCACCCTTTCAAAGACCAAAGTTGCTGCTGCTTTCATATGTTAGTCCTGTTAATGGATCATTCATTTGGCATGTAATGTTTAACATAAATAATGGAGAGCAAACACTTAAAGAGATCCTGGCTGAATTTGCTGCCCTGACCAGTGGTTCCAGTTTACTGCAGGAACAAGCTCCATTTCTTTGTGCTTTGCTATAGCACAGCACATGCAGACATGTGCAGACATTAAAACCCTTTTTGTTTAGGGCTGCTGCCTGTGGCACAGTTTCCTTCTGAAGCAGGTACAACTAGGAGTCATTAAAGGATAGTTTGGTGTTATAAAGTGAATAAAAATGAGAACCTTTAGCTAGTACCATGTGAGCATCAGCTGATGTTACTGATTGAAGGCATGTTTGTTTCTCTGTGGTATTAACTATGCCTGATTACCCAATGTCTGTGTTTTCCATGTGACTTGCTTTTAGAATCTCAGATTCTGGACCCTTGGTTGAATGGTGTTTGTTTTGTTAGAGCATTCAGGGCCACCTGGGCGAGGACATCCTTCAAGATGTCATCAACTACTGCCTGGGTTACCTTGCAAAGATCAGACTGCCAAAGAAGAGGTATGTGCACACAGACATCTCACTTCTCCATGGGGGATATAAAGCTCAGCTCAGGGTGCTCAGCAAAAAAAAAGAAAAGAGTAATTTCTATTTAGGGAGCAGCACTGTGTGTGTGAAACAGAGCTCTGGCCATGCATACAAAGACAAGTCCCCAGCTGGAGCACAGGGCTTGAAATACTGATCAGCACTTTGTGTCAGAGAGAAGGAGGTTGAGTTTTGAAGTAGGAGAGTTCCCTTGCCATGTTTGGGATTCAGAGATGAGGAGTGCAGCCAGAGCAGCTCTGTGTGAGGTGTGAGGTGCAGCTGTGCAGACACTGAAATGTGCTGGGTGAGGCAGGGCAGGACACTGCCCGCATTGCTGGGAATTCTGCAGCTTCACCCCACACTGACAGCCTGGCCTGTCAGGCTCTGGGCTTGATGGGATGCTCCAGTCACACTTGTTAAACCAAATGGTGCTTTTAAGAGCCCTGAGTAAGGATGATGATGAGCTTGCCAGGTTCAAAGTCCTGAAGACTTACTGCTGCCAGAGGTACCTGCATGTAGTGAGACAGGTGATTCCCACTGCCTTTAGAATTAAATGGAAATTTACTGTGATATTTAGTGCTTTGAGCAGTTTTCTCATCTATTTTCTGTCTTGTGATCAATTCCCTTGCAGAGGCACTTTCATTGAGTTCAGAAATGGGATGTTAAATGTGTCCCCCATTGGAAGAAACTGCAGCCAGGAAGAACGACTTGAGTTCTATGAATTTGACAAAGTGAGTTACAACTCTTGAAAAATCCCCAGCTCTCCTGGAGGAGGCAGTTATGGCCAGGTTATGATTTTTTTAAAACTTTCATTGTTTGTGCAATTCTATTTTTTTTTTCATTTTAATCCTTTCCATGTGGTTTAACTAATTTGTCCATTCAGGAAATAAACAATGTGGGGTTTTTTGTTAGAATAGCAAGGATTTCTTGCAGAAGGGTGGGTTTGGCTCATGTTTTTAATCCAATATCCAGGCTACTGAACATCCTGCTTCTGGGGTTTCTAAAAAACCCTCCCTGTCCTAGGTAAAACCATACTTTATGTTGTCCTCTATAGTGTAACCAGCCTGGGTCCATTCAAATCAATAAAACCATTCTTTTTTAGAGGTGGTTTTGGGTTATCTTTTCACTGGTAAATCAACACAGTTACAGCATGTAACTGTTGTTTGGTTTTGTTTTCTTTTTTCCTTAACAGAAGGAGCATATAAGAGAGAAATTTGTAGCTGATCTACAAAGAGAATTTGCAGGCAAAGGCCTCACATTTTCAATAGGTAATACTTTAAAAGAATGTCATTTAAAACATCAATTAATTTAAATTTCATTTAAGTCATTCTCTCTTATGGCTGTGACATCCTATCTCATTTGTGTGACAGGTCTCTCTGGGGGTGGTTGCAGGCAAGACTGAGCCTCTTTTTCCTCTCAGGCTTTTATTGGGACATTTTAATTGAAATCCATCAACAAAGAGAACTTCATTTCTTGTCATCAGTTCATTGTCCTTTAATGTCAGTTGTGTGACTGATTCTGCTCATTTTGGAGCATATTAGATGCTTTGGATTAGTCAGAGTTGTTTCTGTGAATCAGTTTTGATCAGAGCTACTCCCTCAGTGCTGTTCCAGTTGCCCTTGGTTCTTCTGTTATACCTGCACTGTGTGGGAGGAAGGAAAGAATCCAAAAGCAAGTGCAAGCTTAAGGAAAAAAAATAAAATTAGGGGGAATTAAAAGTATGGTTGGCATTAGTGTTGAAGCACTAAGGCAAAAGTGAACTGCAGTGCAGCTTTCCTCTCTCCTTTATGTTGTAGATACCTTATATAAGATATTTTTATTTGTTGTAGATACACCTGCTTCATGTGGGAATCATGCTCTTGGGTATTGGAGAAGGCCAAGGGCTCAGAACTGGAACCGCTGCTGAAAGGGCTGATTTCTTCCCTTTCCTACTCTGAAAGCCTTAGCAAGTCTTTTGCCTATGATTTTATGGCTGTACATATATCAGTGGCTGTGTTCATGTGTCCTTTCTATCTAAAAGTAAAAAGATTAAATGTAATTATTTTAAAAGGTTCATTTGGATAGCAGTGAGTGTTTGGGAACATGCTCAGACTTTGCTGAATAAGTGCTTGATAAATAATCTCTGAATCACATCTCTAATAACTGATGCCCTATAAAACACCTTCTGTACTTGCAGGACTTAACTCCAGAGTCTCACAACATGTCTGTGTCTTCTGCAAAGCTCCCTCTGCCTAAAATCTTACCCAGTTTACGGTTTTTTTTGCACTTTCTCTCCCTTCAGAAACATTGTTAAAATGTAACAAGTGTTGGTTCCTCTCTCTCCTAGGAGGGCAGATCAGCATCGATGTGTTCCCAGAGGGCTGGGATAAAAGGTACTGCTTAGGAATTGTTGCCAAGGATGGATACAAGACTATTTATTTCTTTGGAGACAAGACCATGCCAGTGAGTACTTTAGTTTGACACCCTCATTTGAGAGCTGCTGTAATTAACCCTCAAGGAGTGCACCTTGTAACCTTAATCCTGACAAGAGCTGAAGTCAGGGCATAAACGTGTCCATGTTTGCCTGGCTGTAGATAGGAAGTTTTCCTTCTGTTTCCTGAGCTGAACACAGGTTTTTGCCTCAACAGAGGTTGTTTTAAAATTGAACTTGTGTAATTCTGTTAAACACCTAGGTGACATAACTGTGTGAAACTGATTGTCCTGCTTGGTCAGTGTAGATTGGTTTTTGTTGGCTGCTGTTTATTAAGCATATTTATTTCCTGTCTCATTTAACACTGTGCCTTTGCTCACTGCTCTGTCTCCACCCTGGGGAACTGAACAGAGTCCCTTGTCCCTCATTGTGGGGCAGAGCTCTGCAGGGCAATTCAGAGGCTTTTAAAAATCAGAGACTTGACAAGAGCTTGTGAGGGCACTGGCAAGCACAAGGACTTGCTTGAAATTAAAGCTGTCTGAATTTGGCCAAAGGACACTATCAGCCTGTTTTATAAGAAAAGGCTTGGTTTGATAAGAACTCACAGTTACAAAACTCTGAAATTACACAGGACTTTATACATTTAAAAAAATAAGGTTTATAAGAGAAAGACAAGCTTAAAATTAAAGGTTTTTTTCCCCTGACATCAGCTGCAAAAGTAACCACCTCTCCCTGGGGCACAGAGCTCACAGACAGTTCATGTCAGACCCTCTAAGTGGCAGTGCAGCACTGCCAGAGAGTTGAAGCACTGAGAGCTGATGCTGACCTGTGGGAGCAGTGTGGCAAACAGAAATTTGGGAATGAAGCTCTGGATGGATTTTGGGATCTGTGCTCATCCAGGACAGTGCTGGTGCTCATTGAGCCTAATCACTGCAGGCCCTTGGAAAAAGTCCATTCCTTCACTGTTTCCTTTCATGTGTCCCTATTTGTGACTGTGCTTGATGTTAAATAAAATTAAATCATCTTCTGCTTCCAGGGAGGGAACGACTATGAAATTTTCACAGACTCCAGAACAGAAGGCCACAGTGTCACATCCCCGGAAGATACAAGAAGAATCTGTGAAGAGCTATTTTTTAAATAAAAGACTTCAGAATTCACACTTTGAGGACAGTTAGAACAGCAAAATAACTTGAAACATCATCTTCATACTGGATTGTTTTTATGTAATTGGCCATGAATAGCAGGTGCTTTGCAGGTCAGCCATTACTAAAGGGAAATGTTTTACTTGAAGACCCCTTGCTGCCTGGGGGAACACAGCAGAGCTCATTGAGCACCATCCTTTCAATTTCCAATCACATAAATAGTTTTCTTTTTGCTTGGTTGTGGGGTTGGGTTATATTTTGGGTTGGTTTTTAAGATATCTGTAAACTTAACTAATTAATTACAATTTAGGGAGGGAAGGGGAGGCATAATCTGCCTCTAGTTGATTCCTGGTCTTAAAATTGGCCTGCAAGGCTTAATCCCTAGTTTTTTATGTTGAGGCAGCTTTTTAAAAGATGCAGTTGATTTTTTAAATACTTACCTTGTGCTATATGAATTAACATGAATTATAAGACAGTTTCTTGTCTAAAACTGGAAGATGAGTAAAAGGGAAAGGTTTTATTTCTTCCTGGGGTTGGGAAGATGGCACTGGACCAGAAGTCCCTGACTGCCATCCCTAGGAGTGCTGGAGCAGCTGGTGCCAAAGTTCCCTCCTCAGGATGGATGTGGTGCCAAGGCACAACTCAGGTCATGCTACCTACACTCTGTGCAGACCAAATCTAAAAAAATATTTGTAAAAATTAATTAAAATAACTTCACCACGTTAGCAAAATATATTTCTGCCACTTTGTGATCATTTTCTGAGATTCCTGGTTAAGGCACTAAGGGTAGATGAGATTTTTCATACTACAAAAATGACCTAAACTATGTTTCTGTTAAAATTCAAGTCAATGTCTGACATTCTGTGTAACTGTTAATTACTGTTACTTTTCTCATCTGGTATTAGGAAAGTAATCTTGAGTATAAACGGTTTGATTTAGTAAAGGAGAATAAAATCTGATTTTATCATTAAAATATTCTGTTTTGATTTATCATTATGGAAAATAAAATACTTGAAGCAGACCTGTTGCATGCTGCCTGTCTGTACCAAAATATTAATAATTTGAATTTTTTCAGTTCCAGGTTCACGGGATACTTGCACAGTAAAAAAGCAGAGAATAGAATCCTGGTACCACCCAAAATCCCCAAAAGGGCTTACAAAAATCAGAGGGGGAGTGCAATGCACCTCATGTACCAAAACCTTATGTCCCAGCACACTTCTTCCCTAACTAATGGGAGCTGACTTAGGACCAGGACTATCCCTAGTCCAGGAATGCTGTTTAAGGACAGTTTAAGAGCTGCTGCTTTGATTGTTTTCAGCCCCAAACACATTTCTGGCTGCTCTGTCCTGGGGCCCTCCTCTGACAGGTGCTGGCCTTGCTATTCCCTAATTGTTCTGCTAAGTGCAGTCAATGGCAGGGAAAACATTTCCTTAAATAAAACTGGAGTCACCACACAGGGGTGCCTGTGCAGGCACCTGCATTTTCCTCTTTAAAGCTGATCCTCCTCAGCACCAGGTACCCAGGGAGCAGACTGGAAACACATGGAAGCACTGAAATTGTTGCATTTATTGTAAAGGAAGCAGGGGGTGATATTCCAACAAGCTGCACAGTGATAAACCCACCACTACCAAGGCTTATGGGTCATAAAAACAGAACCAAACCCAAACCCCAGCACACCAGTGTAACAGGCACAGCTAAGGGAAAACAGCCAGCACAGCAGTTCTGAGCCCACATCACAGCTGCTGTGAAAGGCTCAGGACAGCTCCTGACAGCCAGCACCTCTTGGTGAAGCTCCAAATCCACAACTGAAGCTACACTGTTTCATACAACTAACAAGAGTTCTGCTTTTTTTTCTGGTTTTATTTGCAAAGTCAATAAAAATCCACTGTTAGGAAAATAACAGAGAAAAATGCTTCATTTGAAAGAAAAAAAAATATATGGAAGGCAAATAGGAACAAAACCAATTTAGTAGCACTACAACTACACAAAAGTCTGGGGAAGGGTGGCCCTACCACATCCTACCAAGGGAGTTTGCCAGGGAAACAGATGCAGAATTTACTTCACCAAGGCAGCTGAGCCTGCTGAGAACTCAGGCAGTGTTTAGCACACCTGGGCAGCACACAGCTGCTGTGCAGCAGTGCAGGTGCCCTCCCTGCCCCTGGCACACCATGCCAGTCAGCTGCATGCAGTCTGGAAGGCAAATCTTCAGCCTGGTCAAAATTCATACAGACACCCTCTGAGGCTGTGAAGTATCCACTACTCTATGGTTTTCTACCACTTACCTTGGAGCAAATTTAAATTTGAGATTTTTTTTTTTTTTTTTAATACTGGCCTATAAAATCTGTTGCTAATCAACCATCAAGGCACCTAAATAAATTCACAAACAACCCCAGCTTTACCAGTACAACACAATTTCCACACCATTTGCAGGGGTGCACCTGATGGGCACTGGAGCACAACCCCCTGATGGAGATCTTCCACCCTGTGGCAGCTGCTGTGTTTGTGAACTTCCTTCCATGAGGAAAACAAGTCAGCAGTGAACACCTCTGTGTGTCAGCCAGGGCATTCAGGCACTAAATCAGCAATAAAGGTGCTGCAGCCCTGGAGAGCAGCCCAGGGAGCTCAGGGCTCTGAGCTGGGCCAGGCCACCTGCACCAGAAGAGCTCTCCTTGAAACCTCTCCCCCCTTCCCCTGGGCATTTCCTGGAATCAGTTCACAAGACAAAAGAAAACCCAAACCTCCCCTCCTCCACCAAGCACACAAACTAGCTCTCTTTAAATACATTTCTTGTAAACACATTGCGCTAGATTTTTTTCATTAGCATTTGAATTGCCTTTTTTTTTTTTTTAAATCGGGCCAGCTGTAAAAAATTGTAATTTTGGCCTGCATCTGCTTTATTGACAATGCAGTATTTCCTCACACACAGAATTCTTCAGGCAGGTCCTGCAGCCAGTTGCTGAGCAGAGCCCACCTGGCAGCAGCCACGCTCCAGGGACGCCTCAGGAGCTGATGACGTGCCCTGACCAGGTCTCGTGCTTGGTGCCAGGGGCCAGGTGGGTGATCACCACCTCCACTGCCTGCAGCTTCTCGTTCTTGGGAGGGATGGTGCACATCTTGTAGGTGACCTCGTCGCCTGCCACGGGAACGTACTCGCCTTCAATGCTGTGGAGGGAAGCTCCAGTTAGTCAGGAGTCACATAAACACTCGTTCTCTTCTGCAGCTGACTGAATTTTTTATCATAATTGTTAGCTTAGATGCTCAAAGTACTTCAGGGATTTTAGAGAGCCTGTCATCTGTCAAAGTCTGAGGCTGATTTTGGTTGTCTCGCAGTGAAATCCTATGAAAATGTTACAAACACCACCATCACCCTAAAAAATCAACCAACCACAAGAAGTACAAAATAAAACCCAATAAAACCCACAAAAATCCCCCCTTCAATCTGCCTTAAAGAATATTCAGGTGAGCCCAGGCTTGGACTGAGAGCTGTGCACCAACACCTCACTTGCAGCAGCACTAGAGGGCAGGGCTGCCACTTACTTCAAGGATATGGTTTTTAAACTAAACAAAATTGATCTCTTTTTGGTTGGTTTTCCTCCTCTTCTCACTTAAGCTTTTGAAGATTCAGTTTGGGGTTCTTTTTCATTTTTTCTTAAAAAGAACTGTACCATGTAATGGCAAGATTTTCCCTTTAGGTTACTCCACCATAACACAGTTTGAGGTATTAAATAAAAAAGGAGCCCAGCTAAGATATGGTATCAAATATTTCAGAATTACTTGCTGTGAGAAAAGAGAGTGTTGACATCTTATCGCAGGGGTTCCATACTGCTGTCTCCTTATCACAACAGTTCCATACCTTCTGGGTGTTTTCTCATGGGCATCTCCTCACAGCACTCACTCTTTCTCCTTCTCAAAGCAGCCACTGACTCCAGTTCCCTTCTCACCCAGCCGCCCCACTCTTTTATAGCATCTTCTTCTCATTGCTTACAGCTGTGGCCTGGTAAAGTCAGGCCTGTTCCTGATCTTTGATAATTGGCCCAGCTGCAGCTCCTTAGGGGTGAGATTCCTTTCTACACTAGCTTTATTTTCTCATATTCTATCCCCCTACAAGAGAGCTCTGCTATCCTGATGTGTGAGCCTGCACAAGCACCCACCCAGCACTCAGGGACGTTTCCAGGAGGCTCCTCCTGGCCTCAGCTCCCCCAGAGTGATGCTGCCAGACCTGCACTGTGCATTTGCTACTGCACATGAGCCTGGGTTTGGAATCAGTGGGAGATGCCAAAAGAGCTTCACCTTCTGTTCAGATCAAGGTGCTGATGACACAGAGAGCTGCAAAGAGCCCTCCTCACCTCCACCCTGTGCTTGAGATCACAGCTTTGTAATAAAAATCCCAGCATGTGCCACTGAGCACTGGCAGAGATTCCTCCCTCCTGCCTTGCCATGAGGCTCTGACAGTACAGAAGATGCCACTTCACCTTTCTTTAAATGTACCCACACCTACATGCTCGGCTTCCTTCCCCTGCCCTGACATTTCTCAGTGAAGGTTTTCAGTGTTTCTCAGCAGTGTCTGTATTTAGGAACAGATCAATACTAATAACAAATTCTACCGGATTCCTAATTGGTGACACTTGCTTGTGAACTCCTGGAGTCCAGATTTGGGTCCAGGAAAGAAAAAATACGTGGTCTAGATCAGGAGTTTGGGGTGCACCACTGAGTTTGGTATTTTCCTTCTCTGAGAGCACACTGGGAGCATGCTCACCCCACCCAGGAATTTTACCCCATGTTTTGCTAACAGCAGAAATCTCAGATTTTAGCAGTGTCCTTCATATCCCCTCTCATTTTGTGACCCATTAATCTTAGGGATTTTCTATTGCAGGAAAGGCTGGCAGGACTGATAGGAGGCAAAGACACTGGTCCCCACTGGGAGTTCTAAACTCACATCAGAGTTTGCTTCTCCTCACAGTTGTGCAAAACTTCTCCAGCTTTGCCTCTGCCAGCCCTTCCCCTTTTGAGGGCTCCTGTGTGAGCTCTGCCCTGCAGGTCAGCTCAGGCTGTGGGGAGCCAGAGCAGCCCAACCCAGACAGGACAGGGTAACCAGACAAGTACAAGGGAAGCTGAAAATGACCCCTACATCAAGACTTCTCCCATGGGAAACTCAAAAGAAAAGTCATTGTTTGCTAGCAGATTGTATCAACATGATATTGAAAATGCTGCTGTATCTAAATATGAATCTAAAACCTGCTATGAGGAGCTAAAGGCACTCCCAAGGCCTGGGGTTTGAAATGTTTGAGGGAATAAAGTCTTTCAGAGTTTATTTCCCTGGAAATGCCTCTACTCCAGAGCTGCCCCTGACTGTGGCCATCAGACCCAGGAGGGCAGGTCCTGAGCTGAACCCTCCAGAGCAGTGCCCAGGAAAATGGGAGAAAATTGAAGGCAGAAGAAATATTTACAGCAAAAATCAAGATAAAGCCTCCTTCATCAGACCTGACAGCCCCTTCCAACCCACACAGGCTGATCCAGCTGACCTTTATTTACTTGCAGAGTCTGCAGGCCACCCTGTCAGCCCAGCCCAGTATCACTGGACAGGTTCTCACATCTGACCTTTGCTGTGCTGTGCTCTCCAGTCACTGCCTCCAGCTATGCCCCATTCCCCCAGTTCCAACAGGTTTAGGATCCTTTCAGGTGTGAAGGGATTGCACATCCAACCCTTACTGTCCTTCCAGGAGCAGAAACTAATTTACCTTTTCTAGTGCCACAGACCCAGAAGGTTACCCTGACCTTGAAACAGCAGTTTTGCAGTGAGGATGTACTGGAACCTGATGAGGGAACATAAAAGCCCCAACAAGAGACACAGGAAAGGGTAGAGAGAGTCAAACCAGAAGTGAAAATAAAAATGGTATATAAAAAAAAATAGCATCACCTTTCCTACTTAAACCTCTTGAATCTTGAGGAGGATCAAAGGAACCTTGATCCTTTGTGGCAAAAAAAAAAAAAAGAAAAAAAAGAAAAAAAGAAAAAAGAGAAAAAAATCTTGCTACAAAGCTAAAACCACTAAAACTGAACCAGATCTCTCCTTGGTGCTCCAGGCACCACTGCAGAGCCCCAGGCCCTGAGGGAGCAGGAACTCGTCACCACTGCACAGCCACCCCCAAACGGATGCCCTGCCCAGGAAGGGATCTCAGGTTTGGCTGAAACATCTTTTTTTTTAAACAAACAGGAACCTTACATGTTTTTTAAAACCTCTGTAAAACAGGATAAGCCATGGTTAGTGAAATAAACGTTTGAAATCTGCAAAAGTAGGTAAATATGGTTAGTGTAAAAGGAAAGTGGATTCATAGTCCCCCAAAGCACCAATATAAAAAAGCTTTAAGCTCCTGAAAAATGGAGGTAAATGAGGAATCACTTGAATATTCAAAATCAAGTGAGGAAGAAGTACAGCTTGAGCATTTAAAAGGATAAAATGATGGCTGTTTTGTTAGGGAATGTTTTGTTTAAATGGAAACATGAATATGTACCTGGACAGGTTCAGGTAAGGTGTGTGTTGCACGTACACTGGTAACAAAGCGATTCTGCTTTTCCAAGAAATAAAACCAAGTGAATCAGTGTACACACACACAGGACATGGCTAATACAGCCCACACTGCAGGCAGGGAGAGGAGAAGCAGAGGCCCAGCCTGCAGGACACACTCAGCCACCACATCCCTCAGGCCAGGAGGGGACTCTTTGGGCACGGCCTGTTAGCCCTTGGTCTGACAAGGAAAAAGAAAAAACCCAAAATATTTGCCGACCCCCATTTCTTATGCTGAATCGTGAGGCTGAATACTCGTGTTCCTGCTACTGAAGGGATCAGACTGTGCCCAGAATGTGCAGAGCCCTGAGCATTGCCCAGCCCAGGCAGGGGCACTTTTCTCTGCTAGGGAGCATTTCTTGCAGGGCTGAGCATTATGCTGACAGCATCAGATCCTTTCTTGGTTCCACTGCTTATCCAAGCTGACACTACAGGTCACTGGAGCTTGTGATAAAACCTCATTCAACCCCAGGACAGCTTCATCTGATCCCTACCTTGCTGTCTTTCCTCACTTATTGAGAAGACCCTACCCCTCCTTTGCATAGCTGTGTATAAAGGTTGTGGCCACACAAACATCTCCAATTTCATTCTCTGCTTTTGCCCTTTAAACCTTCCTCCCACAGATCAGATATTCTTTTTTCTCCTGCAGGTTTGTGATCCCTAGCTATTTTTGGTGCCTAACAAACATGAGATCATTAGCTCACTGCCTCCAGGGCACAGGAAAAGCAGGAGGACAAAGGTCTGCAGGCTGAGCAGAGCTGAGGGTGAGCAGTGTCCCCTGGGCAGTGTTTGCCACCAAAAGCTGCTGCTGGGACAGACACAGAGCCACTCCAGCCCTGCTGTCACCACATGTGATGCTTGGGAGGAGAAACACACCACACCCAGACTTGTGGAGGGATGCAGAAAGGACAATCTGATGGCACTCAGAGGGGGTGACACGGTGGCACTGCAGGCAGAGCCCTGCACAGAGCTGGGGGAGATCCTCCAGCAGGAAGCAAACCTCCAGCACTGGGCAGGAAATGAGCTGGAAAAGATCAGAGAGAGTAAACAGAGCTCTTGGAACAGACTCAGCCAACAACAGCCATTCTGTAAACAATGAAAGTTACCTGGAAAATTTGGTAAAGGAAGTTAAACATGGACTTTTTTGATGTTACATGTTGATAAAATAATTTTATATCTGTATTTTTCACTTTCACCCTCCATATGTATTAAATGTTGATCTAGAGGAATGTGGAGGTTTCCACTGCTGTTTGAGATATTGGAGTGCACTTTCAATTCAAAATAATGAATATCTACATACCCAGGAATCTTAAGACACTTCAGCAACTTCAAATTCAAGCTAAAAATAGGAAATGCTTTCCTGATGTCAGAGTCAGAGAGACACAATAGAGTGAGTTTTAGATTATCCAGCACCTCCCATTTCCCAGCTCAGTGCCAGTCTGGTATGGTGGAGCATTTTATCCTGCACTATTTTTAGGGAACTGGGAGGTTATTAGGAAATTACCTAAATAAGGAATGTTCTAGTTCTTCCTCCCCACAGCTGCTATTCATATTCCAGGCCTCTTGGGACACAGCCAAAGTCACATGGAAACATTTA